TCTTGGCAGAATGGGGTTGGACTGGATGAAGGCCCACCAGGTCTCTTCCAACTCTATGACTCTATGAAACTGTGTATCAGGACACATCAGTGTGTCACCTATAGTCCACAGGTGCGTTCATGAAAAATGTCACGGTCATTATCACGCCCACCTCTAAAAAAGCCTATCTGACAGGAAGACACAGCCAAAGCCCTCCTGACAGATGGCCATCCAGCCTCCGTTCAAAAATCTCCAGAGGAGAAGACTCCAATTGACTCTGAAGCATAATTCATTAGAGTTGGAAGGGATGCGCAAAAGGCATCTAGTCCAACCCCCCTCAGCCAAACAGGAAGACACAGTCAAAGCCCTCCCAACGGATGACCGTCTCACCTCAATTTAAAAACATCCAGAGAGGCTTAATCATTACAGAAGTGGAGTGCTGGTACTGGTCAGGTGTACGGATTCTTATAACTTTTATAATTTGCACAATTTGTGATTGAATTGCAATAATTGCCACTAAAATGGATGTGTCCAATTAGGAAAATAAAATCTGTTGACAATGATGTGTGTGATGGAGCAGCTAGAGAGGAAACAACACAAGAATCAACTGTAGCACGTCAGAAATGTAAAGTAAACATTCCCAAACTTCGTTTATACAGTAAAGATGATATGAAATTTATATATATATTGCGTGTATTTATATGTATAATGCGCCCCCTAGTGACCCATTATACACATTATCAATATCTATATACCATACATTATATTATTAGCAAAGCACAATATTAGCATTATATATTACCATATTGTACCATGCCACTATTCTGCAATATTATTAGTAATATTACATGTAATATTACTGACTGTGAGAGCCGTTCAGCAGTGGAACTCTCTGCCCCGGAGTGTGGTGGAGGCTCCTTCTTTGGAAGCTTTTAAGCAGAGGCTGGATGGCCATCTGTCAGGGGTGATTTGAATGCAATATTCCTGCTTCTTGGCAGAATGGGGTTGGACTGGATGGCCCATGAGGTCTCTTCCAACTCTTTGATTCTATGATTCTATGATTCTATATAATGAATATTATGTTGTATTATTAGTAGTAGTATTATATTATATTGCATTATAATATTATTATCAAGGAAAGCGTGTGAGGCCAGTAATTCTGGGAACTGAAGTCCAAAACACCCGGAGAAACAAAGTTTGCCCATTCCTGATATTGGTAATATGGAGCCCCTGGTTGCACAGTGGTTTAAACCGCCGAGCTGCTGAACTTGCTGACTAGTTAGAATCTGGGGAGCAGCATAAGCTCCCGCAGTTAGCCCCATCTTCTGCCAACCTAGCCATTTGAAGACATGCAAATGTGAGTAGGTCAATAGGTACCACTCCGGTGGGAAGGTAACGGCGCTCCATGCTGGTCACATGATCTTGGAGGTGCCTATGGACAACGCTGGCTCTTTGGCTTAGAAATGAAGATGAGCAACACCACCACCCCCAGAGTCGTACACGACTAGACTTAATGTCAGAGGAAACCTTTACCTTTACTACATGTATAATGTCTGAACGTATCATCTAGGAACTTAAGATTGTCTGGGGAGGCCCTACTCTCAATCTCACCTGCCTCTCAAGAGCGATTAGCAGAGACAAAGGACAGGGCTTTCTCAGTGGTGGCTCCCCGGCTATGGAACTCCCTCCCCAGGGATATTAGATCAGCCATCTCCCTCCTGACTTTCCGAAAAAAAGTAAATACCTGGCTCTTTGAGCAAGCTTTTGAGAATGCAGCAGAATAGATAACACAGAACTATGAATGATGAACATGGAATGGCCAGACGATGTTACTGGATGACGTTTTTAACAAGATGACACAGATGATGACATGCTTTAATATGTTTTATTTATGTTTTATATTGTAATGTTGATAGTTTTTAATGGCACTTTAATGAATGCCTGACATCGAATTGTGCCAATCTGTAACCCGTCTTGAGTCGCCGTACGGCAGGCTATAAATATCGTAAATAAATAAAATTATAATATATATATGACAGATGCAGTGGGTTTCCAACCAATTGTGTAGCCTGTTGTCGACCTTTGCAACCCGAAAGACAGTTGCATTTGTCAAGTAGGAAAATTAGGTGCTACCTTAAAGTGTGGAGAGGCTAAATTCACTAATTTATGAGGCCATAAAAAGACTCCAGCAAAGCATTCCAGCAAAAAAGCATGCAGGAAATGCGGAAGTACTTCATCAGTGTCGCAGATGGACGATGAAAGCGACAGCTCCCCAGGCGGCCAGAAAAAGTTAAATAGCCTCTGTGTATGTCTGTATATGTTTGTATGTCAAAATTGGAATCGAATGTTTGCCATATATATATGTACACTGTAATCCGCCCTGAGTCCCCTGCGGGGTGAGAAGGGCAGAATATAAATGCTGTAAATAAATAAATAAATAAATAAATAAATAAATAAAAATGCGTATAAATGGTATGAAACCAGGTTTTCCAGGTTTTAATTAGTTGGTAAATTTTCAGTTCTACATGCTTTACCCATCCACTCATTATTATTTTAATTGCAGCATTTTAAATCTTTTACTCTGTTCAGCTGAACCATATTTTAGTTTAACCTGGTTTAACCTCAGGTTTGCTAGTAAAAACCGAATTACTGTGTTGTGAAAGAATACATGTCTAGAAAGCATGTCACTAACATGGAAAGCTCTGCGCTAGAGGCATGCAGTACCATCACCACCATCTTTTCCTATCCCATCCTTCCTCTGAGTAGATTAAGACTGGAGAAGAATTGGCCTTCTTTGAAACCAAGTTCTCACAGGTTGCCCATCACACAACACTACTAACAAATTCCAAGTCTGTGACCTTCTAGTATAGTTCCTGTTAGGATACAGACACATAACGATGAAAAACACTTGCTCCTTCAATGTCTTACGATCAGCAATGTCAACACTAGGTGTCACTCTCTCCATATATTTCAAAATAATCCTGGAAGGAAAGTGGCAATGGGAACAACTAACAACAATGAGTCACAATGCCCAAGTATGCCGCATTATCACAGGGTGCCTGCGCCCTACACCACTGGAGAAATTACACTGCTTCGCCGGTATTGCACCACCTGACATCCACCGGGAAGGAGCAGCCAATAGTGAAAGGACCAAGGTAGAGACATCTCCAGCTCATCCCCTATTTGGGTATCAGCCAGCATGTCAACGACTTAAATCAAGACATAGTTTTCTAAGATCTACAGAGACACTTGCTGGAACACCTCAGCAAGCAAGAGTCCAAAAGTGGCAGAACCTCAACCAATAGCTGATACCAAATGAGAGGCTCCCTCCTGGGCACACAGAAGACGGGGCGACTTGGAAGGCGCTGAACAGACTGCGCTCTGGCACCACGAGATGCAGAGCCAACCTCAAGAAATGGGGCCACAAAGTGGAATCCACGACGCGCGAGTGTGGAGAAGAGCAAACCACTGACCACCTGCTGCAATGCAACCTGAGCCCTGCCACATGCACAAGGGAGGACCTCCTTGCGGCAACACCAGAGGCACTCCAAGGGGACAGATACTGCTCAAAGGACATTTAATCAACTACCAAGCTTGCAAACTTTGTGTTTTGTCTGTTTGTTTTGTTTAAAATGTAATACAAATGTCTGGTTGCTCCTGGCACGATAAATATAAATAAATAGTATGAGAAGGACTCAGTATTAGTTCACCTCAGTGGGAGAACGGCCTCAGTCTGAGAGAGTCCTCAGTATTTATTTATTTCGTATCAAAAGCATTGCATAAATTAGTATAAAACCGATAAAAATAGAAGGAGCGCAGGTGGCTAAATATCTTTTGATCAAAAACGGGCAACTGGAATGGCATTGTCTGTAGCCTACAACAATTCTTCCTCTGTACAACACCAGAGGCACTCCAAGTGGCCAGATACTGGTCAAAGGACATTTAATCAACTACCAAGTTTGCAAAATTTGTGTTTTTTTATCTGTTTGTTTGTTTTGTTCTGTTACAAATGTAATACAATTGTATGGTTGCTGGTGACACAATAAATAAATAAAATAATGCCCAAGTCGTAACACAACTCTCTTAGATACGTCCTGGGCGCATCACAACACCATGCCACCCTCCTGTGTGTTTTGAGTCTGCACACAAACACACACATTCAGAGGATGCTCCAAAACCTTTTCAATGCCTGCGTCAAACATTTTGTGGATTTTTCAGACGATTAAATCCGGCCCCCTTCCTGGAACTTCCTGGAACTTTCTATTATTATTATTATTATTATTATTATTATTATTATTATTATTTTGTCCTCAGAAGCTTTGAGCCTATACTAGCTAGAGGTTGGACCTCAGTGGTTTCCTTTCCTATCAGTTGTATAGTTCTTTTCAATCAAACTTTTCCAATCAAACTGCAATAAACAACAACAGCACCGACCTTTAAGGTTTTCACAGCCACCGTGAGGTTGTACTTCTTCCAGACTCCTTCGTACACCTCCCCATACTGTCCCCCTCCCAGTTTGTGCTTCATGGTGATGTCCGTCCGCTCCGTCTCCCACTTGTCGTAGTTCGGGGACACGCCATAGATGGTGGGCTTGTTCCGCTTCGGAGCCGGGTAGTGCAGAGTGGTGATCAGCCCGTCTGCCACCGTCGAGTGGTGATGGACCAGCTCCGCCAAGGTGTTGAAGCGGCTTTCGGAAGAGACGTAAAGCTGGAGGACACAACCACAAAAGCAAAGCAGAATATATATATATATACACACACTCTCGGTAATATCTATATAAATAAAAATGTAATGTTCGTAAAACTAGATGTAATGTATGTGTATATGTATACATATGTGTGTGCATGTATGTGTGCATGTGTATATGTGTGTATATATGTATATTTGTGTATGCATGTGTATATGTATCTATGTGTGCATGTATATGTATGTGTGTGTACATGTGTATATTTGTGTGTGCTTGTGCATATATATACGTGTGTGTATGAATGTATGTGTATATGTATATATATATATGTGTGTGTATGTATGTGTGCATGTGTATATGTGTGTATATATGTATATTTGTGTATGCATGTGTATATGTATCTATGTGTGCATGTATATGTATGTGTGTGTACATGTGTATCTTTGTGTGTGCATGTGTATATGTGTGTATATATGTATATTTGTGTATGCATGTGTATATGTATCTGTGTGCATGTATATGTATGTGTACATGTGTTTATTTGTGTGTGCTTGTACATATATATACGTATATGTATGAATATATGTGTATATGTATATATATGTGTGTGCATGTGTATATGTGTGTATATATGTATATTTATGTGTACTTGTGCATATTTATGTGTGTGTATGAATGTGTGTATGTGTATATGTATATCAATGTATGTATATATGTATATATAGTGTATTTTGGGGGGTTTTAAGTCTGTTCCACTGGGGGGAGGGTGTTTTTAGGGGTGGTGGATTGTTATGTGTATTGTGTCCAAATTTCGTGTCCATTTGACCAGTGGTTTCTGAGTGTTGTTAATCCCACAAACGAACATGACATTTTTATTTACATAGATGTAATGCGTGAAACTAGAGGAATGTAGAAGCAATTGAATTAAAAGTGTAGTATTTTGGGAGAAACGGTTGTAGCCAAGCACAAGCCTCCAAACTGAAGTTAGTTTAGACTCAAGGGATTAATGAACACACAATGAGCGCGGGATCCTGGCTAGTTGCAATATGCTGCTGTTTAAAGTAATTACAGTCTGGTCTGCAAAGGATGTAACAGCAAATTATAATTAGTTTAATCCAGGCAGTTAGAGCTTTCTAATCTCCTTAAAGTCGTACTAGAGGAGATGGAAGAGATCAAGGAGGAGGCGCACTTCCAGAACAGTGAACTGCAGTTTAGCACAGGGGTGGCAACCTTCATAAAAGGAGGTAAAAAGGTAAAGGTTTTCCCCTGACATCACGCCCAGTCACGTCCGACTCTGGTGCTCATCACAACAACAACAAAACTCAGAAGGGACTCAGAGCGGTTTGCAAGCAACGTCATCAATACATACAAAGTAAACAGCATAAACATCAAATTAACAAGACAACATAAGCCTAAAAAATCACAACAGCACATATATATTTAAAATAATCCTGCCTGTTCAAGGCAATTTAAAAGGCCGGGCCGTGGCTCATGCAATCTGTAGAGAGCCTGGGAAATTAGGTAAAGTCTATAGTTGTTCATCTCCATTTCTAAGCCCAATAGCTGGCATTGTCCGTAGGCACGTCCAAGGTCATGTGGCCAGCATGACTGCATGGAGCACTGCTACCTTCCTGCCTATTGATCAACAGAAAGGAGGAAACCATGAAAATGAACAAAATCTGGCTACCAGTATTAAAAAAACCTCTAAAATTACAACAACACCACGAGAGGAAACAAACAAGGACATCTAATCACCTCTCAACAAAAGTTTGCCCTAGGCACTGCCAGGCGATCAAATGCTAATCAAGGTGGTCAGTTGAAACATTCACCCCTAGCTCCAGCAGACAAAAGTTCTTTGTCCCACCCTGGTCATTCCACAGATATATAAACCCTTTTTTCCTAGTTCCAACAGACATCACTACCTCTGAGCATGCTTGCTATAGGTGTAGACGAAACGTCAGGAGAGAATGCCTCTAGACCATGGCCATATAGCCCAAAAAAACCACAACAACCTATTGATCTATTCACATTTGCAGGTTTTCGAACTGCTAGGTTGGCAGAAGCTGGGCGGAAGCTCACCCTGCTTCCCTGATTCGAACCGCCAACCTTTTGGTCATCAAGTTCAGGAGCTCAGTGGTTTAACCGGCTGCACCACCATAGGGCTCCAATTCATAAAACGCACACACAAAGAGTAAACTACTTCATCTTTATCGTTCACCTGCGTGACATATTTTCTTTCTCTGGCAAGGTAGTGTGTGGGCTGATCAAACGTGAACTACACGTGGTTTATTTTAATGACGCCACATTCTCTATGCTAAAAAAAACCAAAACTGGTTGGAGTTACATTTTAAAAATGTGTTGGGAATCAGCCTATGTTTGTGTTTCAGGATCCTGATGTGGGAAATGATGAGGGAAATGATGGTGCCGAGGCTGAGGTACAAGATGGAGATGGTTTGGTCAATTATTTTCATACAGACAATGACAGAGAGGCCCCAGTGCAAAGGGCAGTTTCTCATGAGAATATCCCTGCTGGGCCTAGCAATGATGGTTCACTCCCTCTCTCTGCGAGCTCTCAAGATTTGGGTTGGAAAACAACCTGACACCTGGGAATTTTAATGAGCAGCCAGATAGGGAGTTGAAGAATAGGCGACTGGAGATCAGCCAGAATCAACAGCAAACTCGGTGTTTACATCGCTCTGAAAGGCTTAGTCTGATAAGGGGCAAGTGTGGGGGAAAGCGAAACCAATTTCTGGGTTTTGGGATATAAGGCTTGCTTCAAGGGAAAACCTGTTAGATCAGGCATCATTTGGAAATCAAGTTCATGGAAATCCTGTTCAAGGGGTCTTGTTCCTGTTCAAGGGGTCTTGTTCCTTGTTTTTTAGCCTTTTGGATTGTCTTTGCATCCCGTTGATTCCTGTCTGGATAATCACTATCTTGGATTGCTTTTATATCTTGTGTGGACATTGCTTTGTGTTACTGCCTTTTATGGACTCAAGCAGGGAGCTTTGAAATGGTTGAACAGAAGCTCTCCGAAGCTCTAGGTGCTCTTACTGCCTACTACAGGGAAAACCAGCTAATCCCTAATCTATCTAAAACACAGACATGTGCTTTTCATCTCAAGAACAGACAAGCATCCCGAGCTCTGAGGATTACTACCTGGGAAGGAAGGAATCCCACTGGAGCATTGCAGCGCACTCAAATACCTGGGAGTCACTTTGGACCGTGCTCTGACCTACAAGAAGCACTGCTTGAACATCAAGCAAAAAGTGGGCGCTAGAAACAATATCATACGAAAGCTGACTGGCACAACCTGGGGATCACAACCAGACACAGTGACGACATCCGCCCTTGCGCTATGATACTCTGCTGCTGAGTAGGCATGCCCAGTGTGGAACACATCTCACCACACTAAAACAGTGGATGTGGCTCTTCATGAGACATGCCGCATTATCACGGGGTGTCTGTGCCCTACACCGCTGGAGAAATTACACTGCTTAGCCGGTATTGCACCACCTGACATCCGCCGGGAAGTAGCAGCCAATAGTGAAAGGACCAAGGCAGAGATATCTCCAGCTCATCCCTTGTTTGGGCATCAGCCAGCACGCCAATGACTTAAATCAAGAAATAGTTTTCTAAGATCTACAGAGACACTCGCTGAAACACCTCAGCAAGCGAGAGTCCAAAAGTGGCAGGCTCAAATCCAGAGCCTCAATCAATGGCTCATACCCAATGAGAGACTCCCCCCTGTGCACACAAAAAACTGGGCGACTTGGAAGGCGCTGAACAGACTGCGCTCTGGCACCACGAGATGCAGAGCCAACCTCAAGAAATGGGGCCACAAAGTGGAATCCACGACATGCGAGTGCGGAGAAGAGCAAACCACTGACCACCTGCTGCAATGCAACCTGAGCCCTGCCACATGCACCAGGGAGGACCTCCTTGCAGCAACACCAGAGGGGCCAGATACTGGTCAAAGGACATTTAATCAACTACCAAGCTTGCAAACTTTGTGTTTTTTATCTGTTTGTTTGCTTGTTCTGTCAAAAATGTAATACAACTGTTCGGTTGCCTGACACGATAAACTGCTGCGGACGACAACTTCAAGCCAGTGAAGGGTTGGGGTCTCACCTTCCCATCCGAGGCGGTGTTGATCCTGTAGTGGTAAACCCTCCCCTCGTATCGCAGTGAAATGGACCGCTGCCCAGGGCTGCTCTCGCTCTCCCGCACCAAGAAGCTGCCGTTGATGCCGCTGCTGAGCAAGTACTCCGCAGCATTCCGGGAGACGGGACCGTGGTACCAGGAGTGCTTCTCCAAGCTGTTCACGGGGGTGATGTAGTTGCTGGGGACCCACCCCTGGCCGTTCTTTGTCTGGGCTTCACACCACTCGCCATTGTGATTATAGCCCAAGACACGGAGCTTCTCACCTGTCCGTTCAAAATAAATGAGTAATCAATCCATCACATTTATTTCCACAGGCAGCGCAAAGCATACAAGGCAACAAAGCGGGGGATTGGCGGAGCTCGCAACTAAAATCAATGAGTTTTCAATGTATTTATTTATTTATTTTTATTTACCGTATTTCTCAGCCCAAGGCAGTTTATACATAATTTTAATTGTATTTATTATATTTTAATTGTAGTTTAACTTTATATCCACTAGCAACTATTTAATTTGTTTTGTTTTAAATAGTCCTCAGATTATGTGGTCATTAACCGCCTTGAGTCCCCATGGGGAGAAAGACGGGGTATAAATAAAATAAATACTATTGCTACTAATAATAATCTATCAGAACGTACTTAATTCATGGACTGGAAATGTTCACACTGTGTCCCAAATCACATTCTGAAAGGTCTGTGCCCTTTCTCCCCAACACTGGTGCCAAATGAGAAGAAAAGGTGGCCAAAATGGTAAAAATATATTGTAGAAGGCTTTCATGGCTGGAATCACTGGGTTGCTGTGAGTTTGCCGGGCTGTCTGGCCATGTTCCAGAAGCATTCTCTCCTGATGTTTCGCCCACATCTATGGCAGGCATCCTCAGAGGTTGTGAGGTCTGTTGTCGAAGGCTTTCATGTATAACACTAGATGATGATGATGATGATTATATTTATTATATTTATTATTTACTTTATTATTGTTGTTATTATTTTACTCTATTATTACTGTTTTTATTACATTTCAATTATTTTACTCTATTATTATTATAATAACATTTACTTTATTATTGTTTTTGTTGTTATATTATGATTTTACTCTATTATTACTGTTTTTATTACATTTCAAATATTTTACTCTATTATTATTATTATAACATTTACTTTATTATTGTTTTTGTTGCTATATTATTATTTTACTCTATTATTACTGTTTTTATTACATTTCAATTATTTCATTTTGTTTATTACATTTCAATTATTATTATTATTATCATAATAACATTTATTATTTTACTCTCTTTAGTATTACTGGAAAGATACGTAAGCACATTTACATTGAAGAAGATTAGAATAATCAGAGTTGGGCAGTCTTTAATCAGAGTTGGGCAGTCTTATCTTAAATTACAGTTTTATGTAAACATTCAAAAAATTTAGCCTGCTGATGCCTCAATTAATGTAACTGTATTGATTTTTATTTTAATTTTGAAATGTACCAGTAGCTGCTGCATTTCCCACCCTTGGATTATACTTGACTCAACATGTTTTCCCAGTTTTTTGTGGTAAAATGAGGTGCCTCGGCTTATATTCGGGTCGGCTTATACTTGAATATATATGGTAAATGTCAGGAAGAACTTGTTTACTGTAACGTGAGTTCCACAATGTCTTCCCATCGCCCTTACTTACCTTTAGTGATGCTGAGAGTGTTGTCCCCACTTGCTACGAAATCATACAGGGCCACAAAAAGGTTGGGGTCATTTTCACTGGGGCCGGAGAGAAGGTTTTCCTTGGAGTTCCAGCGGGCAGCTTCGCTCAAGCCTTGGGGCTCAAATTCAGAGACAACCGGCCTCTGAAGGGCTTCTGGAAATGGATAAGGAAAAAGGGGATGGGAGAAAACGAAAAACATTATTCCCAACTTTTTCTGCCTTTTTTGAAAAAATTCACGCACACATGTACAGGTAGGAAAACTTACCACAAACACACACAGTGCCCAACACCATAAAGAGACTACAATCTATATAAATAAAAATGTAATTTTCATTTGTGGGATTAACATAACGCAAAAACCGCTGGACGCATTGACATCAAATTTGGACACAAGACACCTCTCAGGCCAACGAGTGACCATCACTCATAAAAACACTGAAAAACTCAGTGGAAGAGACTGAAAAAGCCAAAAAACAAAAAAAAATACATTACAACGCATGCGCAAAACCACATATATACCCATATACACAAATATATACATATACAAAGCACATCTACACAGACTAGGCCACAGCAACGCGTGGCAGGAGACGGCTAGTCTATATAAATAAAAAAATAATGTACGTTTGTGGGATTAACATAACTCAAAAACCACTGGGCAAACTGACACCAAATTTGGACACAAGACACCTACTAACCTAAGGAGCGATCATCACCCAAAATAAAATGGATTTTGTCATTTGGGAGTTGTAGTGGCTGAGATTTATAGTACACCTATCATCAAAGAGCATTCGAAACTCCACGAAGGATGGAATTGAACCAAATATGGCACACAGGACTCCCATGACTAACAACAGAAAATACTAAAAGCATTTGGTGGACATTCACCTTGAGTTTGGGAGTTGTAGTTCACATACATCCAGAGAGCACTGTGGACTCAAACAATGATGGATCTGGACCAAACTTGGTCCGAATATTCCATATGCCCAAACATGAACACAGATGGAGTTTGGAGGAAATAGACCTTGACATTTGGGATTTGTCGTTACTGGGATTTATAGTTCACTACAATTAAAGAGCATTCTGAAACCCATAAATGACAGAAATGGGCCAAACTTCCCACACAGAACCCCTATGACCAACAGAAAATACTTAAGGCCATCCAGCCCAAGTCTCTTCACCAGCACAAGAAAATGTAATCAGAGCCCTAGTAACGGACCTGGACCAAACTTGGCAAACATAACCCCCATGACCCCTTTATGACCTGGTGAGGGTTGGGGGAGGGTGGACCATGGATGATGGGACTTGCAGTACCTTCACTAACTTCCTTAGAGCACCTTGATCTACACCAATGACGGATCAGGACCAAACTTGACACACAGAGGGCCAATGGCCCATTCTACAAGCTGGTGCGGTTTGGGGCAGGATAGACATGGACGATGGGATTTGCAGTACCTTCACCCGATTCACTTCCCACAGAACACTGTGGGCCCCTACAAATCACAGGCCAGGACCAAACTCATGACACACTCTACAGTGGGTAGTACTCATGACCTGCTCTACATCCTGGTGCGGTTCTAAGGGGGATGGATGGAGAATAGATGATGGGATTTACAGTACCTTCACTCACTGAGACCACTACGACCCACACCAATGACTGATCAACACCAAACTTGACACACAGAGCCCTCATGACCCACCCTACATCCTGGTGCAGTTTGGAGGAGAATAGACCATGGATGATGGGACTTCCACATGGAAATTGTAGTTCACCCACACCCAATGAACCCAGCTGACACTGGATCTAAATGAAACTTGGGGCACAGACAAACAATGCCTTTCTGAAATAACCCGGGCAGCGCTGGGTCCCCAAGCTAGTAAATCAATAAATAAGGAATTATAGGGATTAAAAATTAAAATAAAGGTGAAAATACACCATCTCTCAGACCAGAAGCAGAATTCTGGTGATGCAATTTTCTTCTGCGTTGGGAGGTTTTTCACAGGAAATTTATCTTCCAGATAACTTCGTGTTTACATCTATTTGCGTACTTATTTTGCCCCTGAAAACACACAGCTGACAGCCGCAAAATAATTAGGTTTTTAAGCCCGTTGTGCGATTCCGTGGCTCTTCCCCTCCGTTGCTCCTTCTTACATGCAGATTATCCGTTTTGTCATCCCTGCCGTGCTTTAATGGCCACAATTACAGAAGAAACAGTAAAGCTACTTGGAGAAAATTAAGCTGATTAATCATTTTGCCGCAAAGAATGCTTTGATCCTCTCAAGCCCATTAAAACGCGCTTATCAAGCAAGAGGCGCCATATGGACGGGATGGAGTTCACCCCCCCCCCACGCCTCCCCCCAACTTCAAGAAAAGTTACAGGAGTTACATCAGCAGCTGGATAAACACCTGGAATAAACAGTCGGAAAGCAACTGGAAGCTGGGATGAACCTGCATCCGACAGGAAGACCGCCGGGATGAAAGCCTGGCCCTTTCCCTTTCCTGCCCCAATGCATTGGCTGTCCTGGAAACTGTACGCAATGGGGTGCCCTCTAACCTCGGTCAGCAAAAAAAGAATCCCTCCCAATGACTCCAAGCCTTGACACTTCCAAATCCTAGAGTTGGAAGAGACCACATGGGTCTCTTCTAGCCCAACCTCTTGCCACACTGGAAAAGCACAATCAAAGCATCCCTGACAGATACCCATCCAGCCTTCAAGGAAGGAGCTTCCACCAGACTCCAAGGCAGAGAGTTCCATTGTTGAATAGCTGTTCTTACAGTCAAGAAGTTATTCCTAATGTTCAGGTGGAATCCCCTTTCCTGGACCAGAAGTATTTTGGAGTTTGAGTTTTTGAATATTTGTCCATCTATATAAATAAAAATGTAATGTTAGTTTGCGGGATTAACATAACTCAAAAACCACTGGGCGAATTCACACTAATTTTGGACACAATACACCTATCAAGCCACCGAGTGACCATCACTCACTAAAAATTCCGAAAAACACAGGGGAAGGGACTTAAAATCCAAAAAAGCAAAAAGATGCTACAGGGCATACGCAAAAATGACTCCCCCCAAAAACAAAATACACAATAGCATATCCACACCTATTATAGTACGTTATTATTTGACTACATTATTATTAGTTTAGTTGTATTATTACTATTCTAGTTTTGTTGTTCATTCGTTCAGTCGTTTCCGACTCTTCATGACTTCATGGACCAGCCCACGCCAGAGCTCCCTGTCGGCCATCATCACCCCCAGCTCCTTCAAGGTCAGTCCAGTCACTTCAAGAATGCCATCCATCCATCTTGCCCTTGGTCGGCCCCTCTTCCTTTTTCCTTCCATTTTTCCCAGCATAATTGTCTTCTCTAAGCTTTCCTTTCTTCTCATGATGTGGCCAAAGTACTTCATCTTCGCCTCTAGTTTCCTTCCCTCCAGTGAGGAGTCGGACTCTCTTTCCTGAAGTATGGACTGGTTGGATCTTCTCGCAGTCCAAGGCACTCTCAGAACTTTCCTCCAACACCACAATTCAAAGGCATCTCTCTTCCTTCACTCAGCCTTCCCTAAGATCCAGCTCTCACATTCGTAGGTGATTACGGGGAATACCATTGCTTTGACTATGTGGATCTTTGTTGCCAGTGTGATGTCTATTCTAATACGTAAAGGTAAAGGTTTTCCCCTGACATTAAGTCCAGTCATGTCTGACTCTGGTGCTTATCTCCATTTCTAAGCCGAAGAGCCGGCGTTGTCTGCAGACACCTCCAAGCTCACGTGGCCGGCATGACTGCATGTACTATTATAGAATAGTATTATTTTTTAGTTATATTATTACTATTATGTTATTTATATAAATAAAAATGTAATGTTAGTTTGTGGGATTAACAGAACTCAAAAACCACTGGATGAACTGACACCAAATTTGGACACAAGACACCTCTCAGGCCAACAAGTGACCATCACTCATTAAAACACTGAAAAACACAGGGGAAGGGACTTAAAATCCAAAAAAAGCAAAAAGACCCTACAGCTCATGCGCAAAAACGACTCCCCCCTGGCAAACAAAACACACAATAGCATATCCACACTTTCTTCCAGACTACAGCTCCCAGCATCCCCTAGACCAGGCCCTTTAGGAGAGGGAGGTGGTCCAAATGCACTGCTTCCAAGATGCAAGCTTTTTTCTCCTTGGATTTCTTTTAGAGCATCCCCATTCCTGCATGTTTCCTATTTCCTGTTCCTGGACTGCAACTCCCAGCAATCCTCCAGATAAACAGACAGAGATAGGTAGGTAGGTAGATTGATCAGGAGGACTGCTGGGAGTTTCAGTCCAAAAATAGATAGAGAATGAGTAACAGGGAGAAAGAGGAAGGGAAAGAAAAGGAGAGAAGGAAGGGAAAAGGAACAGAAGGAAGGAGAGAAGGAGGGAAGAAAAGGGAAGGAAGGAAAGAGGGAAGGAAGGAGAGGAAGAGGGAGGGAAAGAAAAAGGGGTGAGGAAAGAGGAAGAGAAGGAAGAAAGGAGAGAAGGAAATAAAAACAGGAAAGGAAGGAGAGAAAGAAGGAAGGAAAGAAAAGAGGGAAGGAAGGGAAGAGGAAGAGAAGGAAGGAAGGAAAGAAGAAAAGGAAGGAAGGAAAGGAGAAGAAAGGAGAGAAGAAGGAGGGAAAAGGGGGAGGGAAGGAAGAGAAGGAAGAAAGGAGAGAAGGAAAGAAAAATGAAAGGAAGGAGAAAAGGAGGGAAAGAAAAGGGGGAGGAAGGGAAAAGGAAGAGAAAGAGAAGGAGAGAAGGAAAGAAGAAAAGGGAAGGAAGGAAAGAGGGAAGGAAGAAAGGAAAGAAAGAAGGAGGGAAAGAAAAGGGGGGAAGGAAAGAGGAAGAGAAGGAAGAATAGAGAGAAGGAAAGGAAAAAGGGAAGGAAGGAGAGAAAGAGGGAGGGAAAGAAAAGGGGAAGGAAGGGAATAGGAAGAAGAAGAAAGGGAGAGAGGAAAGATAAAAGGGAAGAAGGAAGGAGAGAAAGGGAGGGAAAGAAAAGGGAGAAGGAAGGGAAAAGGAAGAGAAGGAAGGAGAGAAGGAAAGAAAAAAGGGAAGGAAGGAGAGAAAGAACGGAGAGAAAGAGGGAGGGAAGATTGGCCACAGCAACACATGGCAGGTACAGCTAGT